CAAAACTTTCTTCAGTAATACATTTGCATAATAAAAGATACTGACTATCTTTGGGGTGTGTATAGGTAAGCATTGATAATCTGGAATCAGTTTTAAATGTATTTTACAGTTTAAAAAGAGTTATTTAGATCTTTATCTTACAATGTTCTCAAGTAAACAAATGATCTATGTATGCAGTGGGTAAAATAGACTAAATTTGGGAGCAGTTACTACTTTCAAGCACAAAAGTTTTGGCACACAAATTCCAAAAATCATGAAAAAGTTAGATCAGAAAATAATAAAAACAATAACAAATGAAAATTTTGCTTAATTTTTTTTTCTCTGTCATGTCTTCTGGTATTGTTGTCTTATCCCAAATCCAATCTGAGTAGATGCACATAAATAAAACATATTATTTAAAAGTATATTTTTAGTTTTTCAAAAAATATTTATTAGCTTTTTGAATTAAAAGTATTTCTTAGTTTTTTCACTTTGACCACCCACTACAACTCCAAACTCAAATTCTCAGCAAGTTTCCACTGTGCAGAAACTTGTCTCATTTGCACTCGATTACCACTGCCCAAGTTAATTTTGTGTTTTACCTTCTGATATGTTATACGCTCATGAAATACTATGCCCCTACATGTCAAATTCAGATCAAAACATTGCCTAAGCAGGTGAAAGAAAAAAGTTAACTTTTCCATCTGGCAAAATCCCAGCTGAGATCGAGATCACTTTTCTTTATCAGGGGATGAACTTACAAAACAATGTTTCAAGTTCGAAAGAATAAAAAATTCTGAAATGAATCAATAGCCATGACAAAACTATTATGCATGTTACAAACATCTTTTCCATACAACACCTTTATAATAATAACAATTATTATTTGTAGTAGTGGTAGTAGCCAGTAAATACTGTTTTTCTTGCTGTTCAGGGCATTGTAAGAAAGTAGATTTTTGCAGAAAAATATTATACCTGCAGCAATCAGTCCATGTATATGGCATTCACATAAAGAATGCTATGACAAAATGATATGTAGGTACAAAATGATAATCAATACCTTTGAAAAAGTTTATGAAACACAATGATAATAATCAGAGGTAAAGAATGTAAGAATATACAGCTTCTGACCCCAGAGGTCATTGGCAGTTGTCTTATCTAACAAACTAATCACCTCAACCTAACTCTACAGACTACCACACTGAACATTAGTGAACTACCATATCATGTGAGCACAAGATTTTAGCTTTAAAGTAATATTCTCAAAGAACAGACAACATGCTATCATTAATGAAAACATTGGGCAATTTTTTAAAAGTATCCAAAGAAAGGAAAAAAGATAGCAGGCAACTCAGGGATCTTGTATTTTCAAACAACTTAGATCTGATTAAAAAGACTAAAACAGCATTTACCACAGCAGGGGTTTCATTATGTAGAAAAATGAAAAGTTTCAAACCTTTTATAATTTGTCTTAAAGGGCAGACCAGTTGCTTCAGTATTGTTCCCATATACTTATGGAATCTCCATAACCTACTAATATCCTCCAGATAATTGTCAAACGTTTTTTCAGAAAACAATTCATATTTTACCTGTTACTTTCCCTATTGTATCTTTTGTATGGGTTTGGTCAATTCTACCGACTTCTGTGAGAGCCAAAACTTTGGGGCCATCTTATGCCATTTCAATTTTAGTTGCCAGGGCAAAGAAGCCACACACTATTGCCAAAGCTCTTATTCTTCTTGCAGCTAGATTAGTAAAGATGCTGTCGCTTAACTAAGCTTTATATCAATATCAAAAAATACAGTAAGCAGTCATTTTGATGATAATTCCAATAATATATGAGAGCAAGTGGTGGAGAGGATTAGAAAGAGCAAGTTATTTTCCCTAGAGGTTGATGAATCCATCGATTATTCAGGGGCAGCACAGTTACTGGTCTATGTTCAGTACATTTGGGAAAACACAGTAAAAGAAGACTCTCTTCTGCAAGGCACTGTCAACATGTACTACGGGAAAGAATATTTAAGCTCTTCAATGCATTTATAGTGGGCAAACACATTAATTGAAACAGTTGTGTATGGATCTGCACTGATGGAGCGAAAGCTATTTTAGGTAACATGAGTGGGCTTGTCAGCAGACTTTAAAAAGTGGCCCCAGAGGTCTAGTGGACACACTACATGATTCACAGGGTGGCTGTTGCTGATAAGAACATGGATCCCTATCTTAAATCAATTTTGAGTCAAGCTTTTTAAAAATAAAGCCACTGAATTCCTGACATATTACAAGTCACTTTGAAGAAATGGGATCAGAGCATCAACATTTACTATTGCACATAATAGTATTCTGACTGTCACAGAGAAGAATTCTAACTGATCTGTTTGAATTGAGAGATGAAGTGAAGTGAAGTTGTTTCTAACAGAAGTGGATTCCTCCCCTGAAGAAGCATTTAAGTGACCTCAACTGGTTGACAGTAATCACATATGTAACAGATTTTAGGTCATTTAAGTTCACTGTATGTCACTATAAGGGAAAAAAAAACATTCTGAAATTCAATGACAAAATTAATGCCTTTACTATCAAACTGGATCTTAGGAAGACACAAACTGAAAAAAAAAAACTATGTTTTTGACACTGAACAATCTTTTGGAAATCTCATCCAATGATGTTGCTGTTGGAGATATAAAAGAACATGTGGCTGAACACCTCTCACACTCAGAGCCCAGTTTTTGAAATATTTACCTGATTGTGACTTAACTGCATTTAACTAGATAAGAAACCCATTCAACTACTAGTTATCACCAAATTCAAATCTCACCTTGAAAACCTAAGAATAACTGATTGACATCTTATGTAATTCCATTCTGAAGCAGCAATTCCAGTCCCAGCCTTTGGCTGACTTCTGGGTTTCCATAGAAGTAGGATATCCCCAAATCTCAACTGTAGCAAGATAAGTGCTTCTCCCATTCACAGCCACTTATTTACACAAATCTGGAATCTTAGCTTTTACATATTTAAAGTATAAATACCAGGTGAAACATAATGTGGGAATGATTTAAGGGTTTGCCTCCATCCCTTAGAGACACGATTGAAAAAAAAATGTGGGCTTCAAAATACCAGCACTCTTGGTTACGATTATTACCATATGTTAGACAACATTATGAATATTACCATAAGTTAGAAAATGATAGTGCCATAATCACTGGAAAAGGCTTCTACCTCCCCAAACTGTATCTTATTGTCTATAAAAGGTAAGATGCTTTTTTTTTCAGAAAATGTGTTTCTTAACGTTCCATATGTTTATTCCTGAAAACCGTTATCTTACGCACTGAAAGCTTTCAGCACCTTTGACAGCATGATTAATGATTATATGCTTCATTTAGTGATCTAATGCTCCTATAAGTATGAAAAATAAAATGCTATTGCTTTGTCTATATATGGGGGAGGTGGAGTTATCACAGCCAGCAAAATAAGTTTGAGAACCTCTGGCCTAGATGAACCAACAGGTTCCTTGTTGTCCTTAAATCTTCTTAATTTATGCTAATTTTTAAGTTCAAACAACTACCTTACTTTATTTTATAATCTCCCTTTAAAAAACAACAACTTAAGACCAAAGTTTCTAAACCTAATTTTTTCTTTTAAAATTTTATTTCATTAAACAGTAAAAATATCTATATTCTCTTTCTTGTTTGTAATAGTTTCTGACAGATCAAGACACAAAATAACATTAAGATGTTTGATAAAAACATCCTCACTATCACATGTTAACTTAGTTACTGATCTTTAATATTGACATTTGGTAGCTCCATAATTTATTCCATATGACTGAAAAGAAACTTAAGAACAAGCAAGCTGACTGAAAGCCAGGTTACCCTTAAGTTACCTAAACAACCAAATAGAACACCCCAACCCAAACTAAATGTTGTCCTTCACATTCATACATCTGACCAGTATAAGCCTATGTACACCTAGGCTTACAGTATATGCCAACTCTCATGAAAACCATTCCACAAGTTTATAAAATGCTACTTAAATCTACAGATGTTTTTGTTGCTGCTATCTCCCCCCCCCAAAAAAATATATTACTTTGTAGTAGAGGACACAAAAAATGTACTATAATAATTACAACTGTGCAATTAGTTTGCTAATCACTTAATCAACAGCCCCATTAATTGATTAGTACAGTGTTCCTCAAACCATTGTACATACAAGCGAAAACAAATAAGTTGGTGACAGGTGCTCCTAATGTCAGTTGTCTTACGTAGAGTCAGCAGTTGAAAAATAAAAATAAAATTGGTGGTTGGTGCTGACAGTCAGTTGACTACCTTTTAGTCAACAGTTCAAAAGTAATGACAGTAGCAGATAGCCTTAGTTGCTTTGCCATAACAAAGACAAAACAAGCAATTTAGTAGCAAAGGGAATCAAACTCACTGAATAGAGTTGAAGCACAAAAAGCTCATAAGGCTAAAATTGGGCAAAGCACATATAGCCCACCATATAGCTTTATGCTTAACAACAAACAAATATAGGAACAATATTTTTGACAACTTAGATAGTTCGAATAATCAAAAATAGTAATAATCTGAAACACTACTTTCAATTAGTTGATTATTTCCATGATAATCAATTTAATCATAATTTTGATTATTTTACTCTTAGAATAATCATATACATTAATTTTCATTAGTTAATTATTTTGTGACAATCAATAATAATTGGAAATACTAATCTTGATTAATCAATTAATTTATGTAGCACTAATCAATGTAAACACTGCTCATAGGTAATTGACATAGGTAAAGGACTTGATACTAACTCTTTTTTTTGGGGGGGGGATGTACAAAAGTTTGAGAATTAAACAGTCGACACAAGCATTTAAAGTGATTTGGTTTATAAACAAACTCTCAGAAACTTGTCAGATTGTTAAGATAAGATCAGACATGAATGCTACAGGTCATAGTTATGAATATTTGAAGACTAAATATAGATTTATCCATTAACAGAATTATTTCTCTTTTTGTGTGATAAATTTTATAAGTAATTTATTAAAAGAGGTTTTCAATCAAAATTAAAAAACTCTGTTAAGTAAATTTTCAGTTGGAAAATGTAACATTTGAATATGGGAATTTTACTAATAGAAGAACTTTTGCTTATGTTATAAGAAGTCACTATAACTATAAGTATAACAGCATAAGAATAACTGACCCAACTTGCAACTTATGAACCAAAGAACACTAATATTTCAAATAAAGTTTGATTTATTCAAATAAAAAAAATTCAGAAAGAGCTTATTCTCACTCAGTCAAATGCCATCCCTACTATCTTGTTTGCATTGTTTTTGAAGGATTGATATTGTACATCCCTACATTTACTCACTTTAGTGATTTACATCCTTTTTTGAAAAATTTAATCTTTAGTTGTTACTATTAATACTATTACTATTACTAGTACTACTGTGTTTACAATACAATTTGAACAATACTGATAACTAACAATCGACAGCTTTTCTCTTGTTAGGAAATTTGAAAAGATATATTAGGAAATTCAATTAGCTTTCTGACGTGTAATAATATTAATTATAAATAAACTATATTTTTCATTTCGTACCTCATCCTGATTGCAAATGCCACCACCAGTGTAGTACACAGGAGCGCAGGATGGATCTTTTTCATCCGCCATGACACCTGACAGCACATTTGAAAACGTGAGAGAGAAACATATAGATTGTTGTCTAACTTTATGTCAATTTGTTTGATAAACGTAACAATATGTTAAACTTAAATACATAGAAATAAATAATATATATTTTATATATAAATGAACTAATCAAAGTATTTAACTCCCAAAACAAGATAGCAAATGGCTTTTTAATAACTGTGTGTGATAACATTTATCAGGTTTTACTGCATCTTTATTTCGTAGTCTGAAGATACTTCATAAAAATAAAATAGGTGGGAGGACGGGAGGAAGAAGAAAATCAGGCATTAATAATGTAGTGTAGAATGGATGCGCAGAAGTATAAGTATAGAGAAGCGACAACAGTTTACTTTTTGATTTGTTTGTTTCTTATTAAGTTCAAAACTACACAGTGAACTTTCTGTGCTGTGCTCATCGCGAAACCGATTTTTAGCGCTTCATGCTCTCAGGGTTGTCGCTGGGCGATATATATATATATATAGCAGATTTTGTTAAACAAGACCGATGTCTGTAGGTTTACTTTCTTCTTAGAATTCTTCTCAAGAAGTCGATAAG